GAGTGGGAACCCTATACCGTTTCAGGGAAATGGCTGCCCAGTCTTTTCTTAAAAACTGCCAGTGATCAAGCACCCAGAACTTCTGGAGACAAGCAGTTCCATTGGTTAATGGTTCTCATTGTCTGGAAGTTTCTTCTTAGTTTTAGGTTGCTTCTCTCTTTGTTCAGTTTCCATCCATTGCTTCTTGTTTTGACTTCTGTTTCTTTAGAAAATACATTGCCCCCCCCCCCCTTCTTTATAGCAGCCCCTTGAAAGCCTGTTACCTTTCACACTCTTGGGGAAAGCAGTGAACAGTGAAAAAAGTGAACAACATTTTTACAGAACTATAGATGCGTTGAGGCTGGGTGTGACAAGGAATGGCTGCGAGGGGAGGGGCCAAGTGAGGCACTCCTTGACGTGGGTGACATTGAGTTGGCCATGCTCACCCAGACACATGACTACATACACATCCACCCAGTCACATGACCACCTAGCCATGCCCACAGAACCTGTTAAATTATTTGAATCCTACCACTAATACATACATGTGGTACATAGAGATTGTGGGGTGTGTTTCTGTATTTTTTGTGAATATATGTGTATTCGTGTTCCCATCCTTAGTATTTCTAGGTATCTATCTGATAATAAAAATTTGCAGTGCTGACCATCTGTGATTTGCACGAGTCAACAATAGAATTCCATGATTGTGTGAATATTTGAAATGTACGCTTTTTTTTCTTTTATTTTCACATATTGCAACAATATTATAAAGAGGAATTAAAATATCTCTTTTTTGGAAATTTTACAGACAAAAGAAATGCCAAAAAAACCCTTCTGGAGAGCAGAGAATCAGAAGCAGCTTTAAGAAGGAAAACGAATCTGGTACATCTGGGAAACAACGTCTTTTTTCTTTCCTCCAGATAACTACAAAACTCTTCCCCAGCCAGGAAGAGACAAGGAAAAAAAATAGGAGAAGAGTTTTGAGCTGATAAACAAGCATTGTGTGTGGAACTCAAGGAAACATTATATCAAAAAATAAAGGTGGAATATTTCCAGATTCAGAAAAAGAGGAAATATCTAGAAGTCTGTGGGGAGGAAGCTCTCATTCCAGACAATAATGCAGGCCTCACCCTGTGAGGAAGCAAACAGCTTGAACGATCCAAAAAGAGATCTCCTCAAGAAACTAAGACTATCAGTGGCGGAAAAGCTCCACAGATATTCATATTGTCAGAAAAGCACAAATTACAAATCAGAGCTGATTATGGATCAGAGGATCCACACTGGTGAAAAACCATACAAATGCTCCGAATGTGGTGAAGTTTTTCGCTACACTTCCCAGCTTTTTGAGCATAAAAGAACCCATAATGGAAAAAAACCCTATCAGTGCCCACAGTGTGCCAGAAAGTTTAGTAAGCATGCCACACTGGTGATACACAAGAGGACACACACCGGAGAGAAACCATTTGAGTGTCCAGAGTGTGGGAAAAGTTTCAGTCGGAACTCTTCCCTGATGATACACCAGAGAATTCACACAGGGGAGAAACCTTATGAGTGTCCAGATTGTGCGAAAAGTTTCAATAATTATTCTAACCTTGTAAAACATCAGAGGACACACACAGGAGAGAAACCATACGAGTGTCCAGATTGTGGGAAAAGTTTCACTAATAAATCCAGCCTTGTGCAACACCAGAGGACTCACACAGGCGAGAAACCATATGACTGTCCAGATTGTGGGAAAAGTTTTCGTCAAAGTTACAATCTGGTCATACACCAGAGGACTCACACAGGAGAGAAACCCTTTGAATGTCCAGATTGTGGGGAAAGTTTCATTCAGAACTCTTACCTGGTGATACACCAGAGGACTCACACAGGGGAGAAACCGTATGAGTGTTCGGATTGTGGGAAAAGTTTCAATAAAAATTCCAGACTTGTGCAACACCAGAGGACTCACACAGGAGAGAAACCGTATGAGTGTTCAGATTGTGGGAAAAGTTTCAGTCAGAAGTCTAATCTGGTAATACACCAGAGGACTCACACAGGTGAGAAACCATACGAGTGTTCAGATTGTGGGAAATGTTTCAGTCAGAACTTTCGCCTGGTGATACACCAGAGGACTCACACTGGGGAGAATCCATATGAGTGTCTATACTGTGGGAAAAGTTTCCTCCACAAGTCTAACCTGGTGATACACCAGAGGATTCACACTGGAGAGAAACCGTATGAGTGTTCGGATTGTGGGGAAAGTTTCCGTCAGAAATCTTGTCTGGTGATACACCAGAGGAGTCATACTGGGGAGAAACCATATGAGTGTTCGGATTGTGGGAAAAGTTTCAA